GTTGTACCTAGAACGGTACAAGACGATATCAGTGCAAGCCCAGGAATCAGAACCATGGCAACTGTCAAGTGAGTCCTTAAGTATTTAAGAAATACTAAAGGATAAATTCCTCAAAGAATGAGGAAGAATTAGAGTAACGTAATGGAAGCGTAAATGTATTAGATTATGAATCTAATCCATCATTGGATGTTTCTTCATTATGAATGAAGAGATAAACAGATATCTCTTTATTATGACTAAAGAGATATTTGGATGGAAACATTAAAGTAATGACTTTAGTGTGTTCCATTATGAATGCAAAATATATTGCCATATAGAAGTTTACAACAATGTTGTTTGGATGGGAAAGTTCATTTATGAACTCTCTATTCGGTTCCAACCAGAAAGTGTATCTAGTGTACTGACACTATGACACTAATGGGGCGATAGCTCAAGCCAGGGAATCAAGGTCTCATCAAGATCCGAACTCAAATGAGAGACTGAACCACATGATTGAGAATCATGTATAATGGTGACGTCGTTATTCTCAAGGTTGCTTCTATGGATAACATATAGATATCCATTGTCTAGGCCTACTATTCAGCCATTTATGAAATGACTACAGAAGAGGTATCATCACTGATGACCAAGCTGATTGGCTCTAGTGCAAGTGGGAGATTGTTGGAAATGTGCCCTAAAACCAATCATATGATGATACTTTACGGACATTTCACATGTTAAACTAATCTAGTTTAAATATAAAGGGCAAAAGATTATTGTTTGAGCCGTCTCATATATAAATGTTATATGCTTAAACGATAAAGTCCAAGGAATATGTGATTGGGAGAATGCAATCTAAATGAAGTTAGATTCATGAGACCATTCTTTCGTAGACACATCCTAAAACGTTCCTGATCATAGGATTGCCAATTGGGCATTGACAGTCCGTTAAGATCAGTACGTGCTATGTCTTCTCTCAGGGAGAGTGACTAGTCTCGAGTCATTGGTGTGTGTGACATCAAGACAAGTACGTAGGTGCTCAATAGAGAATGAGTTCACTGAACACGATCAACAAAGAGTTCTCATATTCATGTCACATGAGAACTCATGGTTAGGATAATGCAAAGTAGTCCTTTTACCTGAGGCATCATAGTTGTCTTGTGGTTAAGTCCTTGATCTTTGATTATGTCAAAGTCACTCCATTTGAGGGTGTCCACGGCATAGTTAGGGTTAAGCCACTTAGCCATGGAGGCAAGTGAATGCGCAACAAGGGATCTCTAACCTTCAAACGTTTGAGGGAGAATACTGATGATAAACTGATCATTAAACCTCTTTTAAATTGTAGCAGTATGAAGATCGTTCTAGACCGGGATTAAGGATGCTATCACTTGACTGACTCAAATACGAAAAACAAGTAAACACTAAACTAGACTCAAAAAGCAAAACTAAACTCTAAGACACTAAAACAAACCTAAAGACTCAAAACAGCCCAGAAACACTCAAAACTGCCTTAAAACCACAATCTGGGCAATTTTGAACAATAAACACAACTTGGACGAAAATTGGTTTTAACTTGACTTAAGACACTTGAAAACACAAACTAAAGTGATTTCTAACTACTATGACTCAACAAAATAAAGGGGGATTGATTTTGGACGAATTTAAAAACAAAACAAAACTTTGTAAACTAGAGCAGATTTTAAAATGAATTTGGTGAAAGAGAATGGATGGAAGGCTAGCTAAGGGGTTCTTCTCCACACATGTTATACTTGCATACAAAACGATTTCTAATTGCAATTCAATAAACCATGAATACTCAACACTCCAAGTTAATTAGGTCCGCTTAAATTAACTTTCAAATTTCCCTTATATCAATGAATTGAACGGAAAAAGCGCATCGCAACCAAATTATTCCTCAAAAGTTCCCTACATGAAAACGCATAATAGAGATACAATCAAAGATCATTACGTTCAATGGAAATCATAAGTATTGACGAGGCACTCGTAACTATGAAAACGCATGAAACTTATGCCAAGAATTCACTTAACGCAATTGTGATCAACAACTTTTACTACTTATGAATATAAGTTCATAACTATTAGGTGAAACTCCCTTATATTCTAGCATCAAACTTATGCATGAAAATTAAGCGTGCACTCTCAACCAACATACACAAATCAGTTTTAATTCATATAGATAAGTAAATTGAATCCACAACTTATGAAACGCAATTAGAAGTAATCAAATCATATAGCAAGCATAATCATGGTTTCGAATCCCCCCTAGACAAGGGGGGTTTAGTTCCTCATACTCGCAAAGCAAAGATACATAAATTTAGACATTAAAAACCAAGGAAAGAAAACACCTAGACGATCCAATTTGGACAGCAGGTGCATCCATGAGTCTCCCTTCCTCCTTGCTGCGGCACTTGGACTTTGGACAGGTTCTTTGGGGTTATGGATGGCGTAGAATGGATGGGGGATGTGTGATGGTGTTTAGGGTTGATGGGTGGTGCGGCTAGGGATGATTTAGGGCAGAAAATATGGAATATGGTGGTGGAAGGGTGCGGCAGAGAGCAAGGAATGATTTCTGGCGTGAATTGATGTGTATGAGAGGTGGTGATCTGATCTAGGGGTTTATATGAGTATATATAGGCACTTAAAACCCTAGGTGAATCAGATATGGACTTGTATAATTAAAACCCATCAGGAAAAGGCTTAAAACAATCAGATTTTGAATGGGAAAAGGCCTCCTAGGTGCGGCAGGTAAGGGATAGGGTGGATAAGGCTTCTAGAAAGCCTTGCAAGGCAAGGAAAACAAGTTCTAGAAAGGGGATAGGTGCGGCACCTTATGTGTGCAGGGATAGGGCTTCTAGAAATCTAATTTTAAGCATTCTAATCTAGTTAGGAACCCCACTTTGCAGCTAAAATATCAATGAATTCAGATTTGGATAAGATAGGATAGGATAAGGTTTGTTTGGATAAGATAAGCTAAGATAAAGTTATGGATGATGTTTTGGATAAGATTTCTTCACTTGAGCTGATTTTTTGACTTTAATTCTCCTTCGTCAAGTAGGAAACCTTGCTTAAGTAGGAATCCTCATCCTTCTAGGAATCCATCTTTGACTACGAATCCATCCTTAGCTAGGACTCCTCCGTTGATTAGGAAATCCTTCTTCAATTAGGAATCCTTTGTTGATTAGGAATCCTTCTTCAACTAGGACTCCTCAAATCTTCAAATCTTCATTCTCGTCCATTCCCTTGGCTCCAAGTATGTGACTTCCATTCCAAGCTCTATTTTGCTCCAAAAAGGCTCCAAATTGCATCATTTTATGTAATATGCCCTTAAAAACTGAAAACACATGAAACTAGCTTAAAAGACTACTTTAAACTAAGAAAACATAACAAACATGCATAAGAACTAGCTAACTAAGGCGCATAAATATGCTCCTATCAAATACTCTATGATGTGATTAAGAATCTCTGGCCAGAGTATGAATGAGATTTAGGAAGTCGTTCCAAATCACATTCAAGGTAATCATATAAGCACACGAATCACATTGGATAGTAGACATGAATAAACTATCAAACCAAACAATGTGGTCAAGAGTATTGTATTAGAGAAAGACCGTATTGCATTTGTAATCCTAAACTAAATAGGTTATCCACCTCTTTTGATTAGCTTGGGTAACCATGATATGCTGCTAGGTGTCACTCATGGTTTGTGGAAGCCCTAAACGTGTATAATCACTAAAGGGAGAATTGGAAGTAAGTTTCAATTCACAATCGATTTGAAATGGTTTTAATCGCCCACTGCCTCGCTAAAAGGAATTTAATGGATCGTACACCGTGTAAAGTGGAGATTGAAGAAACGATGGAGATGAGTAAGAATAATTAAATGGTTTAATTATTTATGGCAAGGATTAATTAATATGTTAATTAATCAAACGAATAAGTTCGTTGAAGACCTCGGGATAGTTTTGGACCTTAAGGCCCAATGGGCTTCGAACGTCAAAGCCCATGGACTTAAGTTGTATGACAACTTAATGAATAAAGATTCACAAGGGCCCAAAAACCCAAATCCCTCAATTGGCCGGCCATGTTAAAAGAATGGCTTTTTGGTTCTTTAGGTCACTTATTTGAAGGGACTATATAAAGGACTTTATAGCCTAAATTCATTAAGGGTTTCTTTTGGAGAAAAATTGGAGAGAACATGTCTCTCCCTTTCTCTCTAAAGAGGCCGGCCCCTTTGGAGGGATTAGCTAGAAATCCAACTCCTCCAAGGTCACTCATTTCTTCTCCAATCTAACTTTGGTGTAGAGACTTAGAGGTTCTCAATTTTGGGAACTTGGAGAACCATTTCATCCATCCAAATCCATGGATCCAAGAAGCAAGGAATGAAGGCCCTCTCCTTGGGTGATTAGCCTTTGCTTATGCAAAGAGGAATCTACAAAGGTATAAATTTCTCAACTCACTTTGATTTGAGTTGAGTCTTGGTTCACCAATCTACTAGGCTTTGAATTTCATGGTTAATGTTTTGTTTTAAGTGCATACAAGCATGATTCCGCCTTTTAATTGTTAATTGCATGCTATAGATGTTGCTTAAATGAACATGTTTTTCACTAAATTTCCTTTAATCATCTGCATTTCTTTCCAAAATCCACCACTCTTATGCCTTTGCCTACACAGTTTTTTCTCCAACATAGCTTGCCATGATGATAGCACTATCAATAATTAAGACATAAAGAAAGGCTATCCTAGCTAGGCATTATCGTTGGAGTAAACCAACAACACCTAAGTAAAGTAGCAGACCAAGTTTTTTTTAGAATTGATGTCTTAACATGTTTAAGTAGCGAAGCGAAAAGATTACAAAACATTGGATGCGTTAACACATCCATAAGCTAATGACTCCCTCTCCGATTTACCCCATCATTCTTAATATATTCAATAATGCAGTTGCAATTAAAAGTCCTTGAAAAATGCCAAGCTACTATAAAGACACGATGAAAACTATATCTCACCTTACCCTCTTGTTGGCATAGACAGTATATCTGTCCTTGTTGTTCGAGGTGAATGATAATCCTGAACTCCATTATCATCATCGTCGAGAATGTCTTTGGCTTTTCTAGCAAGAACACCCCAAAACCCATGTTTGGATTCATTAACATTCTTCAATGATGTATACTCGTGGCTGAAAATCGAATGGAAAGCAGCAAAATTTAAGTAATGGGTAGAACAAAAACCAAAATTAGATACAACAAAACACACAATTCACGAATGAAACAGCACAAAACAAACCCCCAAAAAATTTAATGAAGAATTCTTTATAACAGGCATGTTGATAATACCACGAAAAATTCCACTTCATTATACATGCCTATTGTTTTCTCTGTCCAAATATGAAATTGCCATCATCTTTTTCGAAAGCACCAACCAAAATCACTTTTCAAAGAGTTTATACACAGAAGAGAGTGGAAGCTTATCCAAAGCCAATTTCATGTTGTTCACTCCTTCTTCTTCTTCTTTTGGACCCAACAATCTGTGGGTTTGATTGCAGCATAGTGATTTGGTTTAAAATTTCAAAATTGATTATATATATGTAGATAATCCTAAACACTTAAATTAAACATGAAATTGAAAAGAACACTTCAATCTGACTAAAACTACACAAAGGAAAAAACAAAGACAAAAAAATGTTCAAACCAATCTATAAGCCAAAATGATCCCCCAACATCAATAAATTAACAATAAAAATCTAAACCCATATAAATTCACAGGAAAATCAAAACGTGCGAAAAAATAATTGGATCACAACTGGTCAGGTACAAAAGGATAAATTACAAATCCAAAAGAAAAAAAAATTCACAAACAAACTAAAACTTCAAATCGGTGATGACCGTATCTTGAAAAGGGTATACACCACAAAGCTCTTCGAGACTGATCCCAATTCCGACGTCAGAGACTAAAATAGAGTCCGATTATAAAGGTTTTGCAGCAATGATCGTATAGATCACCCTGTAAGTTATAAAAAAATAAAAAATAAAAACAGATCACCCTGCAAATTATAAATAAATAAAAAAAACACAAAAATCAAGCAAAACCCAATAGGCTAATCGGATTAAAAAGCTACAAAATGCTGGGAATTTTACAAACCAGGACAAAATTGAAGTCCCGATCCTTGAAGTTCTCGAGGATTTCGGACTTTGCTGGGCTGGAGAGGGTAGTTTCTCGGACCAAAAAGTAGGTGCAATGGCTGGCCTTGGCGCTGGCCTAGATGATGAACTTTTTCGTGCTGTTGATGAAGAGGATTTTGGACCTGGATACCATCAGGAATGGGATTGGGGGAAATCAGAATAGGATGAGTTGGAGAGAGAAAACGAGTGATTCGATTCGAATTGGTGCATGAAGGAAGAGGTGGAAGGTCGGTGAGGAGGAGCTTAAGCTCCTGCAGCAGTCGGAGGTTGAGAGCAATAAAAAGTTAAGTGGCAGCAATCTTAGAGGAGATCGAAATGAAAGCACGCCCGGAGAGTGCGAGAGACATCCATCAATTTGTTCAACCAACCTCTTTTTTTCCTTTTTTCTTCTTTCACAACATTGGTGTTCACCGTAATGTGAAGGTAGTAAGAGCCATTGGTGAAAAAAAAATCTTGCAATTACTTGTAAGAGTATCCCTAAAAGAGATGTCAAATTTTAAACGTAAAATTTGAATTTGACAGCCTATATGGCATTTTGACATCTTTCAATATTTTGCTCTGCATCCGGTATGTCAAATTAAATAGTATTTTATTACACTATTTTCTTTTCTTTTTATTTTATTAAAATATTACTTTCTGGGTTTGGAATGAAGAGTTTGGAGGAACTCGGATTCTCTCATGAATCCGCGGAGAACCCTTATATCCAAGTCCCACCAAAGCCCGGGAAAAACCTTCCATTGTATCAATTCTGTCACCGGTGAGCCGCGAAAACAGCGACATTGAGCTGCAATTCCAATTGCTTTGACTACCAACGTTATTTGCCTCACTGGGTTGCAATCGGAGCGCACAAAAACTAGCTTGAAAAGGTCTTTGGAGAGCTTGACAAATGCGCGAAGATAGGAAATTGGGGCGGCGGAGAGACAGGGGAAGGGGAGGGGAACCGCGTCGTCCGGTAAAGACGTTGACGACAGTGACGATGAGGACCACGACGATGGAAATGAGGACGGCGATGCTGTAGAGGGAGATGAGGAGGACGACGACGGTGCAGGCGGGAAGGAGAGAATGATGTGGGAGAGAGATGGGGTAGGATGCAAGTCCATGCCCATGTCTCTGGCTATGGTGGCAAGTCTGTAAGTGTCAGTGACAATCTTTTTGATTGGGAGGAATAGGAGAAATGGGGTTCTCGATTTGCTACTCCTTCCGCTTCTTCCTCCGCCACCCGTTTGTTTGTGACTACCATTGTCGTCGTCGTGATGTTGGGGGAGAAGGAGAGAGTTGTTGATGGTTTCTTAAAGAGTAATGTCATTCTTGGCATGTTTGTATACCATATTTATATATCACCTTATGTAACATCTGATGTGGACAGTCCCATCATTAAAATTAATCAAAATTTAGTTTAAATTAAAAATCATTTAATAAACTAATAATTAAAAAAAAAAAGCTAGAATTAAATAGTGATTGTGGTATACGAGGAGTCTTCTTCTTTCTTTCTAGAAACCAATTTCTTCCAAGATTCAATCTTGCAATCCTGCCGCAACAGAGCTTATAGCTCAAGAAGAATGTAGAGGAAGTCAAGCACAAATATTCATAATCTGATCATGAAAATGTTTCTACTTTTTATTCGCATTTACAAGTTGTAGAACAATATTAATTGACCTGATAGATCTACTGTATACAAAAAGTGTCAAAAAATCCAAACCAGAAAAAAGTACAAAAAAATCTTAGAACCAGAATATTCGTCATTTAATTGCAGAAGCAACAATATGAGCCCACCATTTGAGATTGTCTTTCATGTCAATTTCATTCTCCAATGCAGGAAACCCCGAATTCATCAATGGCTTCTCTATCTTCCTCTTCTCCTTGACCTCCCAAGCTTCAGAAAGGTACAGCCTTGTAATTGCGAACTCATCAGAACTCTCATCTTTGCTATCATCCTTCTTTCCCAATCTTTGCAACCCATGAATGATTGAAACCAGGTTTGAATCTTTATCTTCCTCTGAGAAAACAAAACCAAGATCCATAAACCCTTTTATCTTCCTCTAAGAAAACAAAACTCAATCGTTGCTCATGGACCTGGTGTGCCTGGAAGGAGAAGACTCCTCATATACCACAATAACTATTTAATTCCAACTTTTTTTTAATTATTGGTTTATTAAATGGTTTTTAATTTAAATTAATTTCTGATTAATTTAAATGATGTGGATGTCCACATCAGATACCACATAAGGTGGTATATAAATGTGGTATAAAAATATGGTAAGAATAACATTACTGTTTCTCCAAACACAAGAAAGCGTACCAACTTCAGTGGCAGCATCTTGCCTTTATAAAAAAATTAATAAAAAAATATTTGACGCTGCTGTCAAATTTGACAGCAAGGGGAGAGCTACTATTCCATATCATGCCACATCAGATTTGACTTCTCAGTTGGAAAACATTGCAGCGGTCTTTTTTTACTGTTATTGTTGAATTGGATATTTTGACATCTTATTTGGAGATGTTCTAAGAGGTTAATTGGACTACTCCGCATATTGCAAGAACTTTCAAGAGGTTGGACTACTCCCTATATTGTCAATTACTTTTATAGTGAAACCTCAACTTCATCACCTAAGGTAGTGACGAAGACTAAAGAAACTGAGAATCATAATTTTAAATTCTCAATATCGAGAGAGAAATGCAGAGGCTAATAAACTTGGTCTATCCCTTTCATTGTCTAACCAAAGACGACAAAAGCTTGTAGTTGTGGATTTAGACGCAAAATCGTGTATCACGATAATGAAAGCATACTTAAGAAGAAGAGCAGCAATCACGACCACGTTTGATGGACTAATGAGCCGATTAAGAGTCAACGAAAACTGTCTTGTCATCGTGATTCACGACTAAGCATGTCTGAAGTTGAAACAAAGCGAGTATAATGCAGGGCTTAGCTAGCCATATATGATTACAAACCGTGATGTTGATTTAACTACATATAAGTTCACATGACTTCTATTTACAGGCTTGAAGTTCAAAGCTTAGTCTGTATCACATTACATCACGAGATAAAGATGTATACGGTGGGGTTTGAGTTTTCATAATTCGTATGCAGCTAATGTGTCAATCAGGTTTGAGTTTATGTCTTTTCTCCCATCTGATATGAAGTTCAAATTTAATTAAAAATCAAGTAGTACAACAAAATACGATACATACAACAAAATATCTTCGTAGTTAATTAAAACAGAGCTTAGATATATGGCGCGACAAGTCAATTGTTAGAGATTATATTCAACACCAACATTGATGGAGCACTGTCTCTGCACTCCTTAAAAGCTTTGCACTCTTCTTCGAGGACTCTGAAAAAATTGCTGTAAACTAACTGACCAACAATTTTTTACTTTTCATTGTTTCAATCCTACCCCATTCGAAAATTTAGCCCGTCTAATTTGAAACTTGGCTCCGGCCATGCTCAAAGAGTTGCAAGAATACAAGCTACTCCACACCTACGATGTACTCAGCTAAGCTAATTATAGTACCATTTCAGTGAATGCCCTAATTTACACAAGCCCATTATATCAGACATATTAATTATTCAAGTAATGTATAAATGTTATGAAACATAAGTTTTTTCTGCACCGCGGTGGTAATCACTTGTTGTTTATACTGTTGATATTGCTAATTAACTTACAATTATCAATAGGTGGTCCATATGTTGTCGATATTTTGTTTTTAAGTGTAGTTAACTACAACGTGAATTGATTGATGAAAATATGTGATGGTGCCATCAATGATCATAACTAACAAAACCAAACATGTATAATTTTTTTTTCACCAACAAAATGCAAGATACTTTCTATTTATCAAATATCTAAAGTCTTAGCCCCAATACATATTATGATTATTGTCTTGCAGTAAAGTAAAACATACCAGACATTGACATAGTAACCTTGTTGCAAAACACACATCCTCTTAACCCAATAACATGGATATTATATGATATAATATCAAACTCTAGCATATAATTCGAGTGCATCCTCACGAATATTGGACGTGAAGTATGTAAAGTATGCACCAAAGTTGAATGGCTTGTAGAGCAAAGGATGCTCTTTGTCTATAAATTCTTGAGGCACTTCAATCACCACCTCCTCTTTTGGCAAAGAGAATAGGGCATACGAGTACCTCTCTTTGTCCCCACTTATCATAACCCTGTGCGTCACTGCATGAAGCCTCCCATTGCTCCAAGCCTTAATTGCATCCCCAACAAAGACCACAACAGCTCCCTCCGGGACCATCACTTCAACCCATTTGCCTTGTTTGGTCAGAATCTCTAGGCCTTGCACATCGTTTTGGCACAGAATGGTTAGGGTGCTTTTGTCAGTGTGAGGCACAAGGCCCAGGGCAACTGATGGCGACGCCGACAGTGATGTTGATGACGAGTCAGCATTAATGTTGATGTTGCCTGGAGTTGGAGGAGGAGGAGGAGCTTTGTACTTCATGAAACGAAAAGCACTGGTGGTATTTTGGACATGGGAGTCATAGTGGTTTCCTAAACCAAAGCTCTCTAAGATCATCCTAAGGATGATGAGATTCAATTCCATCATCTTGGAGCACATGGATTTCATTGCCTCACTACAACACAAGAAAACGAAATACATATATAGTCAACGGTAAAAACAACATATGTCGTTTTCTCATTCAGTGAAGTTTGTAAGTGCAAAGGCGACCACTAGGAAATTATAATCAATCGAGGAAATAAGGAGGCCGGAAGATGTATATGACATGTGGTGCATTGTATCAGGTTAGGTTAACTTGTAAGTACAATCATACAATTGTGCATAACAGTACCCATTACTTATTATCCATGACTAGCATATATATACATGATGTACCTTGGATTTTGAATAACAATATAATCTTAAATAATCTAAATTATGAAGAAGGAGATTGATTTGAACACGGTGCAAAATAGGGAACGCACTACTTTAGCCATTTTGGTAAGTACACATCTGTTAAAAAAATGAGGAGTATGCAACACAAAGACTTTTCAAAAGATCACTCATCCTAGTACTACTCTCACACAAACTCGCTTGTGACATGGGATTATCAAGGTCATGAATATGCACGCACCTACCCATTATTATTATGGGGTGTGATATCCACACATTTCTTTTTACTTCTCCCACACCTTTTTGATTTTTGACCGTCGGATCGGATGAATTGAAGAAGATCAATGGACAGAAATTAACAAGGGGTGTGTGAGAAGTAAAAAGGGGTGTGTGGATAGCACATCCCTATTATTATATATAGACTGTCGTGATATGGGTGTGATATATATTGAGTCAAATTATATACATATTTGT